TTCTGGGTCTGTATCCTGCTCCCTTGTTTCTACCACTTTATCCTGCTTCTCTGTGTGGACTGTGATCTTCTGTTGTTTCCGAGGCATCGTGACGTCGTTGTATTTAGATCTCTGTTAACTGTTTGTGAAGAGCAGCCAAGGGTGGTTCAAGCTCTTCTTGGTGGTTTTTTATCGTTGGCCTTTTCAGTCTTGCAGGCCCCGAGTGTCCTTGGGGTTGCACCACTTGAGAATGTCCAAGCTGTTTGTGCCGTCAGGGGCGTTCAGGTCCCTGCCAGACCACAGCTCCGTATGTCTCCTTTTTTGGTATTTTCACTCAAGTTCTTCTGCTAGTTGGGGTTTAGTCTACTTCTGTATCCTTCCCTTCAAGGCTCAGAGGTCCAAGATTATCTTCTGTGTCTGTGTCAATTGGTTTCCCTTTTCTTTGTTGAAGAGGGTCTGTGCAGTCCTTCTGCCTAGTCCGCCATCTTGCCGGAACTCTGGAGTGCTAATATTTTAAGGTCTTGAATATCTGAAATTGTTTTTGTTTTGGATTCATAATTAAATCATAGTTTAGCTCAATTCAGAATTCTGAATTGGAAATAATTTCCCTCAGAATTTTCAAGACATTTTCCCATTGTCTTCTAGCTTCCAGAGTGGATGAGTTGATAAGCCTAATGTATCCTTGTATGAAACTTGTTCTTTCTTTCTGGAATGTTTTAGAATCTTTTCTCTATCTCCAGTGCTTTGAAATTCTATAATAATGCATCTTGGTGTGGGTCTGATTTGTGGTGCTGGGTACTTCGTGAGGTCTTTTAATTTGGAAACACAGTCCTTCCATTCAAGGAAATACTTTCCAATAATTTCACTGGTTATCTCTTCCTTTCTGAGTCTCTGCTCTCTTTCTGGAGCACTCATTATTCAGGTGCTCAACCTCCTGGACTGAGCCTCTGTTTTTCTTCCTAAAGTAAAGCATATTTAACCTTCTTTGACTTTATCTTTTAATCTTTCTGTTTCATTTTTATTTCTGCTTATGTTTTTAATTTCTAAGGGCTCTTTTTGCTTATCTTGATAGCAGTTACTTTTTAATCACTGTTGTTACTTTATGGATACATTATCTTATCTCTCTGAGGATAGTAATGATGTTTGTTTTATTTTGTTTTCAGGGTTTTTTTTTTTTTTTTTTTTTTTTTTTAAATATCAGAAAGAACCATATGTTCTTAGGA